GATTTTGGAGAAAAGCCCTGTCATTCTCTGTGGATGACTACTCTCCTTTTGAGAAGTAGCTCCTTTCCTCCTGTCAGGCCCTAGTAAAAACTGAATGATTAACGACAGGCCACTTAGTTACCATGTGTCTTGAGCTGCCCATCATGAACTAGATACTACGTGACCCATCAACCCGTAAAGGTGGATTGTACAGCATGTCATCATGAAATGGAAGTGGGATATAAGTGATTAGGCCTAAGAAGGCCCTGAAGGCTTATGCAAGTTACATGGAGAAGTAGCCTAAATGTCCATGGTCCCCACTCCTGCTACACTGCCACACAGGGGTCTCTCTCCCAGCCTGAACCTATTGCCTCATAGGTAGTTCCCTATGATCACTGGACCAAGGAAGAGCAGACTCAGTCCTGGTTTACAGATGGTTCTGCACAATAAACATGAACCAGCAGAAAGTGGACAGCTATAGCACTGTAGCACCTTTATAGGACATCCGTGAATGTCAGTAGTGAAAGGAGAGTCTCCCAGTGGGCAGAATGTCAAGCAGTATACCTGGTTGTTCACTTTGCTTAGAAGGATAAATGGCCAGATGTGCAATAATATACTGAATTCATGGGCTGTAGCCAATGGTTTGGCTGTATGGTAAGGGAACTAAATGGAACATGATTAGAAAATGATGACAAGCACATTTGGGGAAGAAGTATCATAAATGGGTAAAAAACATGAAGATATTTGTCTCCGACATGAATACTCACCAAAAGGTGACCTCAGCAGAAGACAATTTTAATTAATTATCAAGTGGATAGGATAACCTGTTCTGTGTATACCTATCAGCCTTTCTCCTGAGCCATCCCTGTCATTGCCCAATGGGGGTTCCTTATCAAAGTGACCACAGTGGCAAAGATGGAGGCTACACAGGAGCTCAGCAGCATAGACTTTCACTCACCAAAACTTACCTGACTATGGCTAATTCTAAGTGCCCAATCAGCCAACAGCAGACATCAACACTAAGCCTAAAATATGGTACAATTCCATGGGTTGATTTGCCAACTACCTAATGGCAGGTTGATTATATTGAACAACTTCCATCATGGAAGAGGCAATGTTTTGTTGTTATTGGAGTAGACACTTACTCAGGATATGGACTTGACTTCGCTGCATAAAATGCTTCTGCCAAAATATCATCTGTGGACTTACAGAATGCCTTATCCACCATCATGTTATTCTACACAGCATTGTTTCTGATCAAGGAACTCACTTCACAGCAAATGACGTGAGTGCAATGGCTATACGCTCATGGAATTCACTGGTCTTTCAATGTTTCCCACAATCCTGAAGCAGCTGGTTTGATAGAGTAGTAGAATGGCCCTTTGAAGATCCAGTGCCAGCTAGGTGACAATGCCTTGCAGGGTTGGGACAAGCTTCTTAGCTGAATCAGCATCCAATATTGGGTGCTATTTCTACCATAGCCAGGATTCACGTGCCCAGGAATAAAGGTGTAAAAATGGGAGCGGCACCACTCCCTACTACCCCTAATGATGCTCTAGCAAAAGTTTTGCTTGCTGTTACTGTAATCTTATGCTCTGCTGACCCAGAGGTATTGGTTCCAAAGGGAGGAATGCTTCAACCTGGAGACACAACAATAACTGTATTGAACTGGAAGTTAAGGCTCCCCAGACACTTCGGACTCCCGTGCTTCTGAATCAACAAAGGTTGTTACTGTGTTGACTGGAGTGATTGATTGTGGCTACAAAGGGGAAACTGGACTCTCATCCACAATGGAGGTAAGGAAGAGTATGTCTGGAATATAGGAGATCCCATAGGGCATCTCTTAGTAATACCATGACTTGTGATTAAGGTCAATGTTAAACTATAATAATCCAATCCAGACAGGACTACTAGTTGCCCACCCCACCAGGCAAAGAAGCACAACCAGTTGAGGTACTTGCTGAAGCAAAGGGAATGCAGAATGAATAGTGGAAGAAGGTAGTTATAAATATCAGCTTCAACCACATGACCTGTTAGAAGAATAAAGACTGCAACTGTCATGAGTATTTCCTCCTTCTTTTGTTATGAATATGTCTGTGCGAATGTACAGCAAATGTCTTTGTTTTCTTCTCTGTCTTATTTCCTTATCATGGAACATAAGATATCCTGACTTTATATCACAGTATTTAAGTACTGTTAACTTTACATCATAGTATTTAAGTTATGGGATATCAAGGAGAAAAGTAAACATCAATCTTCTGGGGAAGAGGTTAGTGCATGTTTGGTTATATATAGCATAGTTGTATCATGTTAGGTAGAACTGTGGCCTTGTTATTTTTTTATTTGGAAATTACGTATAGTTAAAGGAGATGCGTATGGATGCCATGTTGACAAGGAATAGACTTGTGATGGTAAACTTTATACGTCAAATTTACTAGGTCATGGGTGGCCCAGATATTTGCTTAACAGTTATTCTGAGTGTGTCTGTGAAGGTGTTTCTAGATGAGATTAACATTTGAATCAGTAGACTTGAGGAAAGCAGGTTGCTCTCCCCAATGTGAGTGAGCCTCATTCACTCCATGGAAGGCCTGAATAGTGCAAAAATGCTAAGGGAGAATTCATTCTCTCTGCATGACTGCCTTCAAGCTGGGACATTAGTCTTCTTCTGCCCTCAGACTCGGACTTGGATTGGAACTTACACTGTTTGCTCTCCTGGTTCTCAGGCTTTCAGACTAAGACTAGGGCTGTATCATCATCTTTCCAGAGTCTCCAGGTTGCCTCCTGCAGATCTTGGAACTTCTCAGCCTCCATAACTGCATGAGCCAATGCCTTATTTTTTTACATGTGTGTGTGTGTGTGTATATATATATATCTTAATATCTCTGTTTCCCTGGAAAAAGTATTATAAGAAAAGTACATAGGGAGGATGTCCAAACTTCTCTATCTGTAGAATCAGGGAAACTTTTTCAAGCAGTTTATATACTGTAAACTATAAGCAGTTTATATTTAATCTGAAGACTCTTTCAAGAGGTGTGAGCTGAGAAAGAGAAGCAGCTAAAGAAACCATGGAAGAAACTAACACAACACTGTAAAGCAATTACACTCCAATAAAAAAAAAGAGTTTTGATTTTTACTATGGGAAAAACATTAATACTGATGGAAGAAGGCCAGAGGATACTCAAATGTGGAAGATACAAGAAAAGGATGGTATAATTAACAGATAAGGAAAAGGTGATAATATCCTGCTATTAAGACAGAAGTAGAGGGGAGGGGAGCTTCCAGTATAGTTAGGGTAACATTTCAATAATGTAAGGAGGCACTATTAATATTTATCCTGGGATGACCTGCATAAAATGAGATTGTTCTAGGAAAACTGGGGCTTTCCTAATAAAGAGAAAGAAAAAAATGATTGCAGAGACATGTTGTGGATAAGGTGGCAGAAAACTGAGAGAATTTACTTGATGGTTTCTATACCTTCTGTGAAGTATATAGTCATCTAGTGAGACTGAAAGCTGAGATAAAGTCATTTAGTGAAAAGAAAGGTGAGTAGCTAGGGCAGAGTTCAGAGAGCAGAAAAGCACTGAACTGCCAGCTGTGTGAAATGAGAGAACGCTAACTAGAATGGAAACATTAATTGGTGGTATTGAGCGCTCAGTTAAAATGGAGAGCAGGCCTATAACAGAGAGCAAGATTGGCATTTGTGGTTCTTACTCTAGGAGAGCTCAACTGCCTGGTGATCAGATTTAGAATCAGAGTTTTCTAGATGGGTTTTATGTAAGGAAAATGGGACAAAAAGTAGAGCACTGTCTCCAAAGTAGGGGGTGATTTATTGTGGTGTCACAAGAAAATTTTTAAATTTGTACTTTTTTATAAATTTTATCTTACCAATTTTCCAATTATTTTAAAGTAATTTAAATAATTATTTAATATATTTAATTATTTAATGAAATAAGTTAAAACTAATATTATGTTACTTTATTATTGTATTTTATATATTTACATATATATAGAGAGAGAGAGAGGGAAGAGGGTAAGCATTCAAAAATGGCTTTCTGAAAGCAGTGTGAAACCCAGGTAAAATATATTTGAACATATATTTATTTAAGTCTACAATATAGTCTAAGAGATGCTAAACCATGAAAGTTGAGTTCAGTAAAGCCTCTAATCCCTGGTGTCCTTTATTTACCTTTTTCTCACCTCCTTCTGACTTACCTTAAACATGTAAAATGAGCATAGCTGAGTTAGATAATTGGAAGTATAGGAGCTTTCATCATTGACAACTGTTCCATCTCAGAGCTCTGAAAGCTAAATGTTTCAACATTTGATCAAGGGATGCAGAGAGCAGCTGTGGGAGTACTAATACAAATGAAGGGAAGGTAATAATCCAGGGGAAAAGGAGGTCGAGAAATTGAGAGGTTAGGGTTTTATACAAGTCTTTCACACAAACGTGAAAATTACCCAGGATGATGATAAAATTCAAGAATAATGATGTGAGACCAAGAAGTTTGTAAATATCAGCCACTTTGATGATTAAGTATTACAAAGGAGATTATAAAATGTAAAACATGGAATCTGGGGGACATAAGCTTGGAAAAAGTTTTGGAAGAAGTGGTGAGTGAGTTTTCCAGAGAAAAGATACAAATGGAATGAGGGTAAGGATGAACGGATTAGCCAGGACAGTGAGGTCCTGACAAGCTGCCAAAATAGCCCGGGCTGTTTTCTGTTTGATGGAAAGAGAATATTACAAGGCTGCCATAGCCTGCGCGGATTCCAGTTTTGAGGAATTTGGGGGCTCTAATGGATGAGACTCTATCCTCTCTGGAAGGGGTCCCTTTCTGTCTAGACAGACTGTGTGCCTCTGGCTTTGAGGTTGCTATTCCACTGACTCTCAGGAGTGGTGAGAGGCCTGACCTGTATATAATGAGATTAACAGGCAAAGGGCCTGGAATCCAGAGGCCACATTCATCACTGAGGACTGTTCCATGTCGGAACTCACTCACCTCAAAAGTCCAGAGCATAGTCATGGGAGTACTGGTACAGGTGCAGAGGAGATAGTTGTTCTGGGGAGGACACAAGAAGGAAGTCATGAGATTGAGAGATTAGGGCAACCCATAACACAGCCAACCAGATACGTCACTGTGTAGGTGAGTAGGTGATATAACTGGTACTCAGACTCATCAGTGGTGTTGCTTGGGTGTTTACCTAATTCTGGAAGTAAAAACCTTCAGTCGAAAACTGTTGTATACTATGGTTCCCACACTTAAGATGATAGAGAATTACAAGACAGAATTCCTGGCTGCCCTGAATTCCCTCACATTATGGAATTTTCTTCATTTTGAAGAAGGATAAGGAAATGGATGCAAGGAGTAATGGCCTGAAATTTAGTTCCTTCCACTGAAAAACCGTGTGTCTTTAAACGATTTAGTTAACTTTGCAGTTTCTTCATCTAGAAAATAATGCTATAAACATTTATTATATATATATATGTATATATATATATTACATATATGTATATTTAAACAACCACTATAACATACTAAAGTAAGCAGAATGTATTTTATACCTCTTTGTTTGAGGGAAATATGTCACAGGTTAAATGATTTGCCTAATGTCACACAATACTATACTAGGTTCTTGCTTGTGGAGTTGAATTTACAGCCCAGGTCTCCGACAGAGAATTATATGATTCTACAAATTTGATTTGTGAATGCTAACTGCATTTACCCCTATTTTACAAAATAGTAATTTCTGTATCACAATGAATTCAAGATAAAATTTAACTTAAAAGAAAAGCTGTGAATAAAGCCTCATCCCAATATCCTAAAGAAATCTAGGAATACACTAACCCTGTCTTGACAAGGCAACCTTTCTTATAAATTTACTATAAGACTCATTCTATATATAAGGAATAAGTATAAAATGTCAATTTGACATTAATTAGTCTCATGTTTGAGATGCTTAAAGCAGAGGCCTGGTAAAGCAGAGGCCGGGCAAGCATAGATGCCCAAGAGATGTACAAAACTAAATGCACAAAATTAAATTCTGGCATTTTACCAATCTTGGGTTGAATTGTTTGTTAGTAGAGGAGGTGTAAGTATTCATGAACGTTCTTCGAGTCAGTTGGAATGAAGAGTGGAGAGCAAGATGGATGAGTCCTAAGAGGACTCTGAATTGGTTCACCATTGCCCGGAGTAGAAGAGTGGGTGCACACACAGTGAGCTTTTACACAGAGTTGCCCGTTAGAGAAAGTGGTCTAATCAATTTTTTGTGCATCTGACCAACAATTTTATTAATTGCTCCTTTTGTGTGCTTGGGGAGAAAAAAAATAAAAGAGGATAATAGAAGCAAGAAGCAGAGAGGGAGCAGAGATCTTCCTCACATACACACTAATAAAAGGCAATGACAGTTTGTGGAGGGTGAGGGCAGAGATTAAGCAAAAGCTATATCTACTGCTGAGACTCAAATATTGAATTGTATATCTCTTTCACTAGTGCTGCTGAGATTGGTCTCAGGGTTTTGTATTTTATATCTGTTTTAAGTTAGGGGAAATGGTAGATGTATGCTAGCACACTGGGCGTAGAAGAGGAGTACCATATGCAAATTTTGGAGGTGACTCTTACCCAGATAGGAAGCACTAAAAAAAAGCTTCCTAGTGGAGGTGTTACTGGAGCAGAGCCTGGAAACATAATATGGTGTAGTTAGTACATATGTGCTCATAATGTGGTACAATTTGTTCTAAATGTTTTACATACTTTAACTCATTTAATCTTTATATTAACCCTAAAGATGTTATCATCATCTCCATTTTACAAGTGAGGAAATTGAGGCACAGGGCCAGTAAGGAGCAGAATTAGTGTTTGAACTCAGCTGTCTGCTCCTAGACTCCATGGTCTTCTATAATACTATACTGCCTTTTAAGAAGAGGTGATGGTGGTTTTTACAGAATATGAAGTGGCATGAAGGGAGAATGAGGCATTTGAAAAGCTGAAAAAAATGGGCAATGTCAAGGCACATGTATGTGTATATGTGCATATACACATACAGGTATATGTGTAAACATTACGTAACTCAAATTCAGTAATTAAAAAGTCACCTTTTTAACATATAAATAGAAACAAGGTTTCTATAAATATAAAAGAAAGAATTGTAGTATAAGTGAGAAATCCAGGCAGTGGCTGGTTAACCAATAATAACAGGTCACCTGAAAATCATTACCTTTCCTGATATGTTTCTTTTCAGTGTGAGTAACACATACTGGGAAAACCGACATGAATATAAATTGACTAAGAGGGCTATGATTTATAATACTTAATGAACTGTAGTATAGGAGTGAAATAATTATATGACTAAGATATTAAAACTTTTGGTTACATTTCAATAGGGACATAACCATAACTAGGTAACAAATATACTTCATTTTATCCACAGCTGAATCCACTTCCTTCCAATATGCCCTCCAGCCAAAGGAAATATGAAAGGCTTTGACTTCTTCTGTTTTCTCTTTTTTGTAAGTTTTCTAAAAGCTCTTCTCTCTACTGTTGCTAAGAGGAAAAAGAAACTGTTGCCAAGTAACAAGAAAATACATTGTCCAGCATATACGTGTGTCTCCTCAGTTGCATATCAAATGCAAAACCCTCTGCTGCTCTCAAGGACATGGTGTGAGATATTCAGAACACTGCGATACAGGAGTTCCAAGCCCGTCTGACCCCATGAAGTTCAGTGCTTCTCTAACTGCGATATTCAGCTGTATATATAATTTTTTATACTCCACTTTGAGGAACAAGTACATTACTAATGCAACTGCACTTTTCATTTACTTGAAGCTCTGTGCTTAATCGTGAGCAAGTAATCTGAAGGAAGATTATCTTGCTTGTTTCATTTCTTCTTCCTGATGGAGAACAGATGTCAGATTTGACCTGCTTAACAAAACTTCCTCTTTGTTCATAAGCAATAGGTAGGTAAATAGATCTATTATGATTTACTCCGACATAATACCAGAGAGCCACTCTGTGATTTGAGAAAGTTACAGATATATGTTCAAGACATTGACTCATCACAATCCACAAAACATTAAGTGAACACTCTAAGTAATGACTACCTACTTGCTACGTCCCTTCCTAAGAAAATTTACAACGATCCTTAATTTTTTCTGCCATTTGTACCATATGTCCACATCATATCCAAAGCTAATTGGACCAATGACACACCTAAGGAGAATCAATTTGCTAGATGAGTTAAGCAAGTTAATATCTTCTCTTGAAAATGCATATTAGAAGACACATAGTCAGATGGTGATTTGCACTGGGGTCATATAACCTTGGGGCCATGTTAAGTTATATTCAGGCAGGACAAACTTATGTAGATAAAGAGGATATAAAGGTAAAGAAAAGAAGAAAATGAGAGACTGTATCACACCTGTAACTGAAAGAGGCAAAAGATAAACAACCCATGAGAGAAGTAGACATTGACTTTAAAAAGATTAGATTTTATTAACATTGGTTGGTTTTAGTTTTTAATTATTCCTTTCATTCACTTTCTTTTTTTTTTTTTTTTTTTTTTTTTTTT